TGCTGTTCTCTCCCTTAGAATGAAGCCTGCCTGAGGGTGAAAGTTCTGTTTGTTTTGTTCTGCTGTTTCCCCAGCACCAAAGCAATGCCTGAAACACAGGGAGTTTGCTCAAGGGCTATTGATGTAAAGTGAATGAATGAACAAAGTACAGGCTCCTGGACTGGATGGCACTGTGAATAACAGGCAGCCATCCGAAAAGTTATCTTGCTTGTCAGGTTGATGTGGGAAGCTTTGGAAGACCTTTGTTCACCCAGACCCCAGGCGCCCTGGGAGAATGATAAGGCCGTCTGGGAAAAGCAAATAGCAGGATAGTCACAAGGACTGGGGCTAGCACCCCCACAGATAGAACTAATTTTCACATTTAGCCTTTGTACTCTGCTTCTGCCCTGTAGATAGAACTAATTACTGCATTCCGCTTCTGTATCTCGTTTTGCTACGTAGACAGGAAGACCCCATAGGCTATATAAACCCCAAGGATCCTTTGTTTGGGGCTCAGAATTTGGAGACTGACTCCTCTGAGCCCGTGCATGTAAATAAACCTCGTACTCCAGAATCCCTCAGTGTCTGGTTGCTTCGTTTTCCTATAACAAGGTGATAACTGTAGCTCAATTCCCAACACCTCCCTCCACCCTCACACCCCTGTGCCCACCTCAGTCCCTGGAGACTGGTATTCACTGACTCCTCCTGGCACTGTGCCAGCCTGGCCCGACAGTCTCCCAGAGCAGCCCTGGCTCCTATAACCTTCTCCTTGCCCCTTTGACAAGTCTTTAGCCCTGTCACTGATCACATGGAGCTCCTTCCTATATCCTTAGCCCCAAAGCTGGAAGCCTTACCATGTCTAAGTCAGCTCTCTCTTGCCCTTGTGTTGCTACATTTGGTGGGGGGGGTGCTTGGCAGGAGAAGAGCTCTGACATTTAGAGAGTGCTGTAAGCCACAGTTGCCATAGTGAAGCAGTTGACATCCTTGCTGCACCCTCTAGTCCAATCCTGTATATGGCTTATGTGGACAGGATAGAGTGGCTTCTAGCTGCAGTATTAATCCATCCTCAGCAGGTTCCATGGAGCAGAGTGGGCCTCAGTTTTGGAATCAGATGGAACTGGGACCAAACCCTGCCTGATTTTGTTAGTCATGATGTGCATGACTGGCTACATTATCTCTCTGACCTTCAGCTTTTTCATCTGCAAAATGGAAATAATAGGTCCCTTGCAAAGCTGCTGTAAGGGTGGAAGGTTATTATGCATGTATGATCCCCGGCACATAGCAACTGCTATTTGCAAGCTCCCTTCTCCCTTCCCCAGAATTTGGAGTGCTCTATTATTAAACCACACGAAGACTTAGCTTTCAGTCTCTGGATTCAGACATGAGATGTAATACCTGAGGCCTTTAACTGTAGCCTTACAGGTGGTGGAAACTGTGGGCCATGTCCATTGAAGGCAGCTGGGAGTCTGAGTAAGACTCAGCCCAGTCCTTCTTATGGGTTCACTCATCCCATGGTTCAGGGGCTCAGCCTTGTCTCTAGGTGCTCCATTGGTGACTCCCTGTGCCTGTCCAGTTTCTGATTGACCTCACCCATCCCCTACCTTATCCTGATCTCATCCTCCACCTCTGGCTCCTCCCCCAGATCTTGCCCCATCTCAACCTCTCCCATTGCCCTGGGGATCATAATTGTTCTGAGATGCTCTCTGATGCTCCCAATGGCAGATCTTTTCCCCTTCTCTTGTTTGTGTACAGAGGCAACAGATTACACAAACTCATTCATTTGTACATCCACTTGCTCAGTCCTAATTTATGCAAGGCCTGCTCCATGCTTGGCATCATCTAAGCCTATGTCAACCCTGCAGAGCCAGGGTAATTTCCATTCACAGTTGAGGAAAATTGTGCCTCTGTGAGGTTAGGTAAGCTGGTGAGAGCAGCAAGTACTCACTTCCGGGGCCTTGCTTCCTTATCCTCCTGGCACTGCGGTGGGCACATCAGAGGATGTTAGGGGAAACTCAGAGAGGAGAGTCCAACCATATGTATGTCACTAAAGGCTGCCTGTGCAGAGAGCTACAGATATTCCACTGCTGTCCTGCCTACAGGAGCTCTGAGACTGAGTGGTACTGCCAGTCTGGTCCAGGAGGAACTTATTGTGCCCTCGTATTTTGTACAAGGCCCTTGTAAGGGACTTGTATTTTGTTTGATAAATGGTTCTGGTGATGGAAAAAAAGAAGAATTTGGAGACCAGTGCAGTGGAAGATTGGGAGCCACTGATGAATTCTAAGCAGGAAAGTGTCATGATTACATTTGCATTTTAAAAAGAGAAACAAAGACATTTGGCATAAAAATAAATCTCCTTAATCACATTATTGCAGCAGAGCAGCTTTCCTCTGGGTGCCTTCTCCTGCAGCCTCTGATCACATGCAGAGATTTTATACAGTTGTAAACACTGCCATGGTTCATTTGCATTCTGCTTCCTCACTTGATGACACACGTCTTCTTGTGGCTTCCTAATGATCATTTGGAATAGCTATGTGTTACCCCATAACAACATTGGATCTCCACTTACCAGTATGAGTACAATATCAGGCATCATCTAGAAGTGTCATGTAAGTTGTAACTACTGTTATTATTATTCTAGCTGTTTTTGATCTTCCTCTTTTATAAATGACATAGTAATAAATGTTTGTGCTATAATTATTTTAGTTCCATGTTGACTTCTTCTCTTGGACATACTCCAAGCAATGAGATGCTGGGTCAAAGGTCTTAAACACTTAAAAAAATGTTTACTAGTTTTAAGTTTGCAGCAAAATTGAAGGGAAGGTACAGTGAGCTCCCAAATTCTACCTGCCCCCCCACAGCCTTCCCCATTTTCAGCACCCCCCAACCAGTGGCACATTTGTTACAGTGACAAACCTACATAGACACATCATAATCACCCCAAATCCATAGTTAACATTAGGATTTTTCTTCATGCTATATATTCTATGGATTCGGAAAAATTCACAATGACATATATTTACTATTATAGTATCATAGAGTAGTTTCACTGCCCTAAAAATCCTCTGTGCTCTATCTAATCATCCCTCCTCCCACCAATCCCTGGTAACCACAGGGATTTTTACTGTCTTTACAGTTTTGCCTTTTCCAGAATGTCATATATTTGGAATCCTACAGTATTGAGTCCTTGCAGATTGGCTTCTTTCACTTAGTAATATGCATTTAACTTTCCTCTATTTCTTTTCATGGCTTGATAACTAATTTCTTCTTAGCACTGAATAATATTTTATTGTCTGTGTGGACCACAGTTTATTTATCACCTACTGAAGAACATCTTTTCTTCAAGTTTTGGCAATTGTGAATAAAGCTGCTATAAACATCCACATGTAGGTTTCTGTGTGGAGATGTTTTTAACTCCTTTGGGTAAATACCAAAGAGCATGATTGCTGGATTGTATGGTAAGAGCATGCTTAGTTTTGTAAAGAAACTGTCAATCTGTCTTCCAAAGTGGTTGTACCATTTTGCATTTCTACCACCGATGTTGCTCTATACTTGTCAATACTTGGTGTTGTCCATACTCTGGATTTTGGCCACTCTAATAGCAATCTGAATGCTTTTTATGTATTAGATTGCTGTGCAGTTTCTTTTCCTTTATGTTTCCAAGTTGAGCTCAGAGCTGGTATGAACCAGTCCTAGGCTGGAGGATTCTCAGTCTATGGCCACACAGGACAAGCCTGTACCACGTCAGGAGCATGGGGATGTAGTGGACACTGCTGTTCCTTCAGATCTCCTTATCTGGTCATTTTGCCCATCCCCTGATATGAGAAGGCCAGGTGCTCTTGGCTCCCAGTTGCCTTCCTCTGGGGTAGTTGGATAGTTGCCCTCAGCTGTGGGGAAATCTTGCTTAAGGTTAGGCTGGAAGGGGCTGCCCGAGACCAAGAGGGCTGATTCAGGAACACAAGGGCAGGAACACCTTCACCCTCTGTCAAGTCCTGCCTCCCTCATTTTTAACCAGGGACCCCAAGACCACTCCTCCAAAACTGCATACCCATCTCTGCCCCGGAGTCCACATCAGAGACTCAGCATCAAGCAGGGGCGATGCCTCTACTAGCCACTCCTGCTGGGGCTGCAGCTTCTGGTTCTCTGAGGAGCCAACTGATGAAGAGTCAGACCTGGCACAGGGTGGGGCTGTCAGATGTGTTTTTTTGTTTTGCTTTGTTTTGTTTTAAAATATTTTATTTATTTATCTTTAGAGGGGAAGAGAAGAAGAGAGGGAGATAAATATCAATGTATGGTTGCCTCTCGTGCATTCCCTGCTGGGAACTGGCCTGCAACCCAGGCATGTGCGCTGACTGGGAATCGAACCGTGAGCCTTTGGTTCACAGGCCCATGCTCAATCCACTGAGCTACACCAGCCAGGGCAAGAGGTTTTCTTGTTCATGGGTCAACTTGTTGATCACCTTCTTTTGGAGAGACAGTGTCATAACCAAGACCTCTCCTTATAAAGAGAAGACAGTGCACCAGGAGCACACATGCATAGAAATGCTTAATAAATTAAAAAAAACAACAACAAAGTTTCAGGACCAGGTTTTTCTGTCCTGAAAAAAAATTTCATCATGCAATGTGTGAGGGCTTGTATGACCAAATCTTCTTGCTGTCACTTACATTGGTGTGACCATTGAGTGACTTCCCTCCTTGTTCATTGTGTTTATCTTGTGTCTGATAATGCTGTCCCTGTAGGATTACTGTGAGAATCAAAGGAACTAATGGTTCTGAGGACCAACTGGAATACAGAACAGGCTCAAAACCAATGGTTTTTCTTTTCCCTCCCTTCCATTTGCATCATATGATGTGATGCAACTTCTATATAGTAGAAGAAAGATGTGCCAGGTGGGGATTTTGAAGGAACATCCTAGCCCTGAGGCCCTGACCTGGGTTTTGACTGCAGGCAGACTTCTGTTCTGCTTAGAGTCCCATAGAAGGTATTCCTATGAGCCCCCTTTTTTCCTGCATCTTATTTCTAGCAGGTAGAAACCAAAGCCTATTTCCACATTGAAGATTACATCCCAGCAAGTCTGACTGAGAAGATGACTGCTCTCAGGGTCCAGACCCAAGTCTCAGAGATGCATCATCTCAGTCTTGTGCTCTGGGGACAGGAGGCCAAGCTGGAGTTCTTGAAGGTGAGGCCCTGGTATTCTTGGAAGAAGTGTTGGTGTTCAAGGGCACACAGTCAGCAACCCCCTCTGACACCTTTCCTGATGGGTAAATGTGCTCAGACCCAAGAGGAGTTACAAGCAAGGGTTCTGAGGCTTGGGGAGAAAGAAAGCTCCATTGCCCACCAGGCAAAGAGAGGCTTCTAGAAGCAGTTGGCATTGGAAATAATCTCAAAAGATAGGTATGATTTAATGGGCTGTGGTGGGTTCATATGTCAGGGCCTTTCTTCAATCTCAGAGCTCACAGTCACTCTTCTGTGAGTGGGAAGATCACATTTCTTGTAGATGACATATGGGAAAACTGAGGCACAAAGTCGGGTGGTGAGCCAAAAGCAAAACCATTGGAAGATGCCCAGTTTTCAGACTTCCAGAAAACTGTCCTCAGCACAGCACAAATAGTGTGGTTCATGCATATGGGTGCATCTCTGGTCCACTCTCTCCTCAGCCCTTGAGCCAAAGGAGCAGCATTTTAGGTTCCATGTTGGTGGGCCTGCACCACCAACAGAGCCTTCATACAGAGCCTGCAATGAATAGGCTTTGCTCACTCTTAGACTTACACCAGCTTGAGCCAGTCACTGTGGGCAGTGGAAAATACAACACATGTTCCCTGCCCCCCAGGGAGTCCCAAGTCTCCTGGGAAGTACAGACAGGTACCCTGAGGTATGCAACACTGTTATAACTACCCCATGAGAATGACAGCAATAGCAGTTACTCTCTCTCAGGGTGGGAGGGAGTGACTACTATGCCCCTGGAGGCAGAGCTGTCAGGCATGTGGGAGCAGTTCCCCCCACCCAACCCCAAGTCTTTCCCAGGGCAGGATACCTGGCTGGGCCTTTAGAGTCAGAAGCAGTTTAAAAAGGAAGTTTGAAGACTTATACATTTCTCTGTACAAAGTCTTCTGAGACAGATAGAAATATTCTGTTACTGTGTTTTGCCTTTAATAAAGACAGGCATTAGAATGCCAAACTGTTGAGGGGAGGTGTGACTTTTTCTTTTTGGTGGGTCACTTAGCAGAACTATTTGTAGCACCCAGCATGGTGTAAACCTGCAAACATTTTTCATTTGAGAAGCCCTGTCAGAAAGGTGCTGGCTGCATTCCAGAATCTAGTGTTCATGTGTGCTCCTTGTCAAGAGGATGCAGCATCCCCTTGACAAAGGGCCAGTGGGGACTGCAAAGCCATCAGCACACATTTGGTAGAAAGTGGCCACAGAGCCAACAGAGCCAGTGGAGATGCCAAGGCCTCAGGCCCACAGAGGCCATGCAGGACTGACAATGCCCACCTGCCTCTGCTCAGGCCTGGCTTTGTGGCTGGGCTCACTGTATCCCTTCCTCCCCTGGTTGAAGAATAAAAATGATTGTAAAGGAAGCCACCATTTCATAAACAAAGCCCTGACAGATTTGATTTTACTTGCATGCAATTTTATCAGTTTCCAGCTAGCTTTTTGAAATTTCCCTTTGTTGGGCTTGCTAATACTATGTGCCACCTGAGGTACAGAGGTAGCCCAGAACACATTGTGACCCTTTCTATTAGAGTGAATGTTTGCTAAACAAAGTCCTACCCCACGATTGTAAAAGCAATGATTTGTTTCTAATTATGCCTCACTGTAGATAGCACAGTTACACTGGGATGTATTTATTCTTCTCTCTTGTTCTAGGCATTCACATGTGCATGTACATATATATTTAAAATTGGCTTTATATTATATATGCAGTTTTGTGTATTTTTATAATCCCATCTCAATAAAATTTGAAACTATTTTAAATCAACACATGTACCCTAATTTTTTTACTTAATAAGGTTGAACATGGGACTATTTAAAACAATACTGAGATTAGTACTTCTTTTTTTAAAAATTAATTTCTTCATCTTTAGAGGAGATGGGAAGGAGAGAGAGAGAGAAACATCAATGTATGGTTGCCCTTTGCGCATCCCCTGCTGGAAACTGGCCTGCAGGGAACCGGCCTGCAATCCAGGCATGTGCCCTGACTGGGAATTGAACCGCGATTGTCTGGTTCACAGGCCCGAGCTCAATCCACTGAGCTACACCAGCCAGGGCAGTACTTCCTTTTTACGTAAGTCTTTAGTTGCACTTCTGCTTAATTCCTTAGGAATAGAATCTCATGAATGCACTTACAGGATTGAAGATTATGAAAACTGTAAACATTTAAACATGCTAAGACACTTTATGTTGTAGTTATTTCTGTGCATTTCTTGTCCCCTCTACTAGGTTGTAAAGGTCCACAGGGCCCATCTCAGAGCCTACTTGCTCTATAAACAGGCTCTGGATTATTTAATTACAGCTCCTCCAGGCTCCCTTTTCCATTATCAGATGGTGCCTGTTGGTGTGCTGTTCACTGATGACTAATTCTGCTAGTTCATCATCTCACACTGGAAGGAGACTTGGCAGCAGTCCAGTCTGGGTAATGCTGAATAATGTACTTTGTCTGGAAGATTCACAACTACATTAGCATATTAATCCCAGAACAACCTGTTCAAGGTTAATTCAGTGTTTTCTAAAGTTCCTCAATCACAGAACCATTTTCCCACATAACTAGGGGTTGTGATATACTATTGAAACACTTTTTTTCTGTTGAAATCATACTGGTTGTATCTTATATTTTCCTCCACTTAGCATTATAACATATGCATTCCCGGGACAATTACAAATGCTTTATAAATATCCTGTGTTAAAACTGCCTGATAATCCCTTTTAAGGCAGTACTGATTTTAGTAAATCACTGACCTCTGGGAGCTGGTACTCCCAACTTAATCTTGTAAGTCTGTCCTGAACATTTCTGTGAGAAGTTTGTATTGATTTTGTATTATATTTTCTTAGGACGGAGTTCCAGGAGTGGAGTTATGGGAGGAGCTCCCAGAAACTCAGTTCTTCTCGCAGATGCAGTAGAAAAATCACAGATCAGCTAATCTATTAGCGTGCAAGCAAGGTTTATTAGTCATCCATTCTCATGGATGACAACAGGCTAGCTAAAGTGGTGGGGGGTGGGAGTGGAGTTCAGTGAAAGTCATAGACAAAGCAGTGTTTGGGTGGCTGAAGTAAGTGTGGCCAAAGGCCATGGTGCACTGCATGGCCAGGGGTGGGTGGCCAGAGAGCCAAGGGAGAGAGAGTCCTTTATTCTGAGGGCTTATATAGTTGGCGGGATGGGGTGAAGAAGTTACATACTGATTGACAGGTAGATGTGACTACCCAAACTTAGGTATGTGTGGGGGGTCTGTTAGCCCAAATCCTCATCTTGCTCCAGACCCCATTTGTACATCTTGGTATAAGACAGATACGTGACTGGAGGCAGTTAAAGTTGGGGCAGGTACCAAAAGGGCTCTTCCTTTAAGCATTAGGGACTCCCTCATGAAACAGATAGTGACCAGCTGTAGGCAATTAACTAAAGTTGTTCTATGGGCTCCTTCCCTTGGGCACTGTAGATCCTCTCCTGCCTTTTGGCCTTGAGGTAAAAGCACAGTTTCAAGACTTTCCTCAAAAGTGGAAACAATACATAGAATTTCAAGGGTTTCCCTCATCCTGTTTTAGCATGGCATTTCTTATGATGTTGTTACATCTGGCAATATTGGACCAAGCTCGGGACTGCTAAGTTTGTAGGTGAGACATGTCTCCCTCCTCCTTCCTGCCTTGGTTTTCTATCTACCCTACCTAACAGAATTATAGAGTCAAAGTATATGAACTGTGAATCTCTTGATGAATAGCTGGAAATAACTCATTTGTTCTGCCAGTTTTCAGTACAGAGAGGGTGCTATGTGGGCTGGGAGCCAGGAGAGCTTGGGTCCAATCTCAACTTTGCTGCCCCATTTAGGGAGAAGGGGAAAAGAATGAGGTGACCCTAAGCACATGGAGATGAAATGACCCTCTGAGAGGAAAGTCAGGGGTAGCAACACAGAAGGGACCAGGAGAGATGGTACTGAAGACTCCCTAGCAGAGCACGAAGACATAGATAATGTTATCTTTTTTATTTTTATTTTTTTACAAATTGCAAATGCCCTCAACAACCTTATATATTGTCAACCATGTTTCCAGACTTTACAGCAACTGTATGTGTGTTGGTAAGAGTGAAGACATAGAAGCAAATAGACTCATGTTTCCATTACTGGCACCCAGTGGGAACTTTGTAGATTACTCAATCCTTGACCCTTCTGTGCTTATATAAAACAATGCCTGAGGAAATACCTAGAATGGTGCTTTATATATTTCAATAGCTTATCCCTCTCTATGTAATTACAAGTAAAATTAATAATTAATATTAAACAATTAAAAATGTAAGTGAGCCTTTCAAAGGCATCTTTAGTATGAGTTCATTTTCCTGTCTTACATTATTTTTTAAAGAAATATTACATCAAATACTTTTAAAGAATTTATCTAATTGTTTTAGTGTGACCTTGATTTGTCATACCTCAAGCACATACCTAGTCTGGCCATTGGCTATTTCCATACCAGTGGTTAATAAATATTGTTTTGCATGATGGTGACGAAGATGATGATGATGGTGACAATGATAATGACAGGAATAATAAAGTCTCTCCAGAGTTAAAAGAAGGAGGCTCAGGGTCCAGAACTTTCATGAAGATTATATGAAGAGCTATAGACTCTGTACCAAGCAGAATTAATGCATAGAGATTATTGATTCACAAAAGGAGAGAGGTTGGCAAGGAGCATGAGAAAGGAGCTCTCAAAAGCCATAATTTGTCCCTGTGTTTGTGACCCTGCCTGGGGGTGAAAGAGATGGGACAAGACATGGTACTCTCTGCTCAGTAATTAGAGATAGGAAGCTGGATTTCACCACTGAAACCATTCTGAGAGGTTTTCAAATACCTTGATCAAGATGTTCCAGGTGTGACTCCAGGTGCATCAATCTTCTGAAGAGAACTGGAGTCATCCAGTGGAAGATGAGGATGGTAGAGAGCAAGCTAGAGACATAAGTAAAAATATTTCTGTTAGGTTTATACTTAAGTCTTTTAAGAATTTGGTTGGCCTGATGCAGTGCCAGCCAGCTTTGAATGACACTCAAGCCCCTGACAAAATTCAGCCTCCTAACCAGGTAAACTGGCAAACAGGACAGACGCTGGACTTGGGGAACCACAATGAGGCACTGCCACATGGTTAGAAATACCAGTGATTCCTCATTTTCTCTGCAAGATGTTAATGGCTCATCTTGCTTTAATGGTGATGTCAACAATTTGGACAGTGGCTTTCTGTAGCTGGGCCTTAATTTTTTCTATCAGTAAAGTGAATGGGTTGGATCAGATAATACTACAGTTGACTTTGACGCAAATAGAAAAGGAATTTCTTATGGTGAGATTATCCAGAAGAGTCTGAATTCTAGAAACTTGTCCACAATACTATTATGCTATTGTACCATTTTCATAACTGTATTCTAGGTGTTTTACAAAAGTACTCCATGAAAAAAGGATTCCTTGGGTTAAAAAAATAGAAAAATGTTATCATATCAGAAGTGCAAGAGAGATTCTGGAGTAAGGAGATCTATTTAGCTTAGTGTTTCCTAAACTTATTTGGCAAGCTTATCCTGTCCCTCTTTCTTTTTTTCTTAAAGAACATCTATTAAGGTGTTTTATAGAATCTCTCGAAGCCCTTTATTTAGACCAGTGTGACTGTCTTTTATAAATGGGCATTTTTCTTGCTCCAGGTCACTCAGCAACTCCTGGAACATGGTGTCTTGGTCCACCAAGTTCTTCCAGAAAAGATGAGGCTTGAAGGGGGAGTGGCCTTGGGGATCTGTGCCAAGGATCTCATAACATATGAAGTGAAAACAATAGCAGGATTGCAATTTTACGATTTCAGTGGAAAGAAATTGGGAAGATTTTAACTTATGTGAGTGTAGCTCAGTTGGGAAATGACCAATGCTTCATTTTTCTTTGATCTGTTGCCTCTTTAAAGGAGCAATGAATGGGTCATGTAATCTTCTCCTGACCAGAGGAGTTCACAGCCTGCCAGGTAACCTGCACTCAGATACACTGTGGCATATTTATAGGAAGAACACCAGGGGATTTGAGAGTTGTCAGGAGGCCATTTCTTCTCTATAGGCTCTCACCCAGTCCCTGCCCCACTTCCATACATACACACTCCCATGAACAGCTATCAGCCTAACGGGCTACACTTTCACTCTGGGTAAAGTTCTGTTAATGTGGGGAATCCACTGATGTTGAGAGCAAGGCTGGAGGTGGGAGATGGGAAAGGAGGACGTATTGTAGGTGCAGTGGAGTCCACAAGGTTTTAAAACATTTGCCTTTTGTTTTAATTTTCCCTTCACATACAGTGTGCTGAGGCTCCCCGGCCTGTCTCCCATGGGCTACAGGTGTGCTGCAGGACACTGATCACTGCAAACCTCTGATACCCATCAAAAGTCTTCAAAGCCTTCTTTTTAACGCCCCCCAAAAAATCCCTAGTAAACACGTAACATTTGAAATTGTATCTGAACACCATTTACATGAGTATATATACCTCCTGGATTTAGTTACAATAAATTTGGCACTGAAGAACATTATGTGCTCCTGCTGTAGTCAGTGCTCTGGGATCCAATCTTCCTACAGCCCTGAGGGCCATCCCACTTCAGCAATGATTTCACTATGAAACATGAAGTTCTTCACCTTGTGGCCCTTGAAGAAATTGAGTTCTCTTCTATTTAATTTTCTCTCATGTTTTAAAAATATTTCTTTCTCACTAGAATGCTGATTTTATTATCATAATCTGATGTTAGAGTTTCCTAAGTAGAATGTAATTGAATAATGCATTTTCTCAATGTTTCTTTCATCTTAGCTGTTGGAGTAACATACTATTAAAGTATGATTCTTGATAAAATTTTATAATCAATTATTGTTTGTCTTTATGAAAAAAGCTTATATTCACAAGTAAATAATAACAGCATAATTTAATTGAGGTTATTAAAGTGGCCTTTATACTAACAGGAAAATGACTTTTTCCCAAATATTTTTACAACCCTAAAAATAAATATTTATATTTGGGAATTGTTTAGAATTTTAAAGCTATATTACTTTAATTTACTTGGAAGATTATTTAAAGAATTTTTATTGTTGAATTAATTCAATATTATTGCATTAGTCTCTCTTTTCTTTACAACCCGCTTAATTGTTACATTTAAAACAGTAACCTGTTTTAAAATAAATCTGTGAAAATGCAGATAGCCTAAAAACTAATTTTGAAAAATAGAATTTTTTAACATGTAAAGTTTAACGATTTCCATAAGTAATACTTTATATTTCAGTTGGTTTAATTTTTACAGATACTTATTTTCCCCATAACCAAGGATGATTTCTTGATTGTAGCTGAGAAGTCATCAGGTGCACCAGTCAAACTTAGGAGCTTAAATAAAAAAAATTGCTACTAATTAGTATTTCCATGCCCTAATGACCATCCTCTTTCTCAGCATGAATGTCTTTTGTTAAAGTCATCAGGTAAAATAATTTTACCAGCTGCTTGGCATGCACCAGGTATCTTACACAGAAAAGGACTTGGACTGTTCACACTTCTGCAAACACAAAATGGGGAACTCTTTGAACAATAGGAGAATGAGTTCAGGAACCTGGTTTGAAATTTGCTTAATTAATAGTAGAAGCCAAAATGCTTCAAACAATCACAGGTCATTCATCTTGCTAGCCTACAGGGAATTAGCAAAAGAAATAGGGAAAATGCCTTTTCAAAGAATATGGCTTGTAGGTGTATTGGCAGTCTATGACACAGACAACACAATTCAGAAGATCATTCAATTGAGAAAGTATTCATTGTAGAGTGATGCTAGTAACTGTTCTTGGTTATTAGCAATAGCTAAAATGTCTGAAGAGAAAATAATGGGCTTTGTAGGCCTCTTTCTAAGAAAAAGAATACAAAGTTCAAAATACTACAATATACAAGTGAATGTTCATTTAGAATGGGAAAATAAAATATCATAATTTTTGAACTTAAAAAAGCTGAGCAGATATTGCAGAACTACAAAAGCCAAAAAATAATATATTAACTCCCTGAAGAACTCTATAATTCTTCTTTTCCTTTTAAGTTTTCATTGGCATACACTCTGATTACATTTTTAAAAGATTTTATTTATTTATTTTTAGAGAGAAGGGAAGGAAGAGAGAAAGAGAGGGAGGGAAACATCAATGTGTGGTTGTCACTCATGCACCACCTACTGGGGACCTGGCCTGCAACCCATGCATGTGCCCGTGACTGGGAACCAAATGAGTGGCCCCTTGCTTTGCAGTCTGGTGCTCAGTTCACTGAGCCACACCAGCCAGGGCAGAGTACATTTTAACATGATGACACTTTTGTAATATCATTTTTTTCTAGAGAAAATAGAAATATAATTTAGTCTTCCTTCTAGTATGGCTGATCAAAGATTATTTTTGTTTTTGATGCATAATACATGCAGCTTTGCAGAGACATAAGTACTCTCTGTAGTGCTGCCAAAAGTTTCTATGCTAGAATGCTAGAAATCTAGTAACTTCCATTTCATGGGATTGCCATCAAAAAAGAAAAGTATTGTGTAGTGTATTGATAATGAAGCATATAAAATTAATAAGGTATACCCCTGAGAGGATAGAATTTCTACTTGATTGAGTGCTTTTGAGAACTAAATTACAGTTTATTATTCTGACAATTGGAAAAATTTCCGGTGTACTGGTCTCTGGCACTGTACATTTCAAGCCTGGTTCCCTTCCAATGCTGCCCTGACTGCTTCTGGTGCTGGGGTATTGTGGAGCACAGTTAATGTCATATGGCTACTGGGCTGATATTGTTATTCTGAGACTTTGAGTGTGCTGGCCTAATGGAAGGACTATTCTGGGACAGCTTGCAATAAATTATTGCAGAACAGACTGCAAACCACATAAATAAATCCCACTAAATCCACACAGTACATTCTCATCTTAACTTCTTAGTGGGATCTGCTTCCATACCACATACCACCTGTAGCAAGGAGAAGTGAGAATGAGCTGGAGTGGAAAGAAGAGTCAATAGTCTTAGTGAAATTCTGGTGAAAGCATATTTTCCCCATGTTTTACAAGAAAGCATGGAGACTTTGCCAGGGTTTCTCCTGGGAAGTGACCTACCCAAGTGAAGGGCTCTGGAGCTTTAGCTTCATTAGCTTCATGGCAAATGCCCCTCTGCCTGGGAGAATGTTATTGTTCTGCAAAGATGTATCAGAGCAATCAAACTAGAGTATGAATAAGCAGTGACAATAAAACTACTAGGGATGAAATGTTTGCAATGGTAAAGCAATGCTTTGAAACAAATAAGATGCTACAGAGGTACTAGCATGTCTGTACTCCAACCACAGGGGTGTAAATAAATTCTTCATGTTTATGCTGAAAACCCTAAGGTTTAGGTTATACATAATTTTATTCATAAAGCAGCTAGCTCTTGAGAAAATTTGCCTGCAAATATGAATTTCTCATTAAATAACATTATCAAGATGGAAAAAATCCAAACCATATACTCAAGACTGTTTTCAGCTTTATGCCAAGAAATAGGATCAGAATTCCATTCTTTCTGTTGTTTGATACCTTAGACTGACCATTGATGTCCAAAAGGAGAGTTTTGTTGAGAGTTTATGAGCTCAAAGATTGAGGTGTGTGTGTGCATATGTATGTGAGAATTATTTTCTCTTTGCAGATTTGTTATAGAACAGCAATTACATTTGTACAGATGACTTATCTAATTTTTTCTTCTTTATATATTTTATTAATTATGCTATTACAGTTGCCCCATTTTTCTCCCCTTTATTCCCCTCTGCCCTCTACCTGCCCTCACCATCATTCCCCAGCCTTAGTTCATGTCCATAGTTCACACACATAAGTTCTTTGTCTTCTCCATTTCCCATATTATTCTTAACCTCCCCCTGTCTATTTTGTAGCTATCATTTATGCTTCATCTTCTCTACACCTTTTCCCCCACTCTCCCCTTTCCCTCCCTGCTGATAACTCTCCATGTGATCTCTATTTCTGGAAATCTGTTCCTGTTCTAGTTGTTTGCTTAGTTTGCTTTTGTTTTTTTAGGTTCAGTCATTGATAGTTGTTTGTTGTCATTTTACTGTTCATATTTTTTATCTTCTTTTTCTTAGATAAGTCCCTTTAGCATTTCATATAATAAGGGCTTGATGATGCTGAACTGCTTTAACTAGACCTTATCTGGGAAGCACTTTATCTGCCCTCCCATTGTAATGATAGCTTTGCTGGAGAGAGTAATCTTGGATGTAGGTCCTTGCCTTTCATAACTTGGAATACTTCTTTCCAGCCCCTTCTTGCCTGAAAAGTTTCTTTTGAGAAATCAGCTGATAGTCTTATCAGAACTCCTTTATAGGTAACTGTCTCCTTTTCTCTTGCTGCTTTTAAGATTCTTTCCTTATCTTTAATCTTGGGTAATGTAATTATGAGGTGCCTTGGTATGTACTTCCTTGGGTACAACTTTTCTGGGGACTCTCTTGGCTTCCTGGACTTCCTGAAAGTCTATTTCCTTTGCTGGATTAGGGAATTTCTCCTTCATTATGTTTTCAAATAAGTTTTCAATTTCTTGCTCTTCTTTTTCTTCATCTGGCACCCCTGTGATTCAGATGTTGGAACGTTTAAAATTGTCCCAGAAGTTCTTAAGCCTCTCCTCATTTTTTTAATTCTTGTTTCTTCATTCTGTTGTTGGATGTTTATTTCTTTTTTTCTGGTCTAAACTGTTGATTTGAGTCCCAGTTTCCTTCCTTTCATCATTGATCCCTGTACATTTTCCTTTATTTCACTTTTCACAGCCTTCACTTTTTTCTCTATTTTGTGACCATATTTAACTATTTGTGTGAGCATCCTCACTACCAGTGTTTGGAACTTTGCATCTGATAGGTTGACTATCTCTTCATCACTTAGTTGTATTTTTTCTGGAACTTTGATCTGTTCTTTCATTTGGGCCATATTTCTTTGTCTGAACACACCTGACTTACCTAAAAATTTTTAACACCTGAGTGAACTTTTATAAAATTGTCACGACTCAATGAAAGCATATCAATAATGTACTGTCAAGGTAGATAAATCTCAGGCAAATATTCAACTTCAGTAAAGTGTGACTAAAATGATTCACTATTAGAGTTTAGGCATTATTATAATATGAATATAAGGAAAAATTATTAAGGCTAGTAGGACAGCATCTATCAATGTTTGAGAAAATATATTATTTAAAAATTGTAGATATAGTATATTCGGTTGGATTCAAAATCCATTTATTAGTACAATAAGGCTTAACATTATACTTATTAATAAAAGAAAAGATTATTTAGAGAATGCTCAAATTATCTAAAATTAGGTTAATGATAAAAAATTTCTGGGAGAAAATATGATGAATAGTTCTCTGACTTTTGTTACTATCTGGCTTGTGTGAATGAGGTTCCTTAGAAAAGGTAACCATTGTGAATTAAAAAAGAGCCAACATTAAAGAGGATCAGGAGTTTCAGAGACCCCTTTCAAGCAAAAACTTTACATTTACTAAGTTATCTTCATTGGAGCAACTCAAGATTCTTAATGAAATATCTAGAATAGCAAGTATTTAGATTTTATTTGGGTGTTACATATAAATTTATACTTCATGTAATCTCTATTACTTTGTACTTTATTAGTATTCTTAGAATTATATATTACTAAAGTTATGAACTTTTCCCACAAAGCTCCATATAAATAAACCCATATAGATAATCCTCTCCAGTTTATCTCAAGGATCTGTACAAATATTATCACTTTGTATGTGGACCATGAGGGTATAAACACGGGGGAAGTGTTTTGTGGTGGTGTAACCTCAATTCCTGTTGCATTTTCAGAACTGGTGGTCTATTACCTAATCTGTAGAATAAGGATCATATTATGACTTCCCTCATTCTGGAGCTTTCAGGGAGAAATAAATTAATACCCAGAAAACAGAACAGAACTTGGCTCATAATTGTAAGAAATATGAAAATATATGCAGTGTTTTTATCTTTTCTATAACCCCACTAGGTGAGATTTTTGTCTGCAACTTCTGAGAATTTTTACAATGCAAACTATCTTTATATTTAATGGCCTTCAAAATGTGCACTGAGGATTATGTTCACTCTTTGCTCAAGGTCAAGTGTACATGTACCTGACTCAATTTATATTATTTTCACTTAGCATACCTTGGTGGATAGAAGTCACCTGACAAACAAATGTCCAATTTATGAATGGAGGAAAAATACAAAGAGGATTTTTTCTTAATCAGAGAAAAATTATTGAGCCATGGGCAGACAACATGTGCCATACATTTCTGATGCCTAGAACCTTAACATTGAACTGAGGCCCAGAATTTGATTACTCTCTGGACAGTTGTGCTTTATAGTTTAATGTCTGTGTTTGCTTCCTTCAGCAAAAGATGTTCACTGTCACAAGTAGCATCACTGGAAAAAAGCACACATTTGTCACTGATTTGGCCAAGACCTGTAAATATTTACTGAGCCTGTGCTCTGCTCAGTATGGCTGTAATGCTCAAATGAACGCTCCCTGAGTTGCAACTGGTGAGTAGACACTATGCTTTCAGTCTTCAGAAATTTAGCCTTGAGTGATGGGTTTATCACATTGCCTGTTGATCTCTAATCATCATTTCTTGTTGCAAAAAGCAGGATTTCCTTCTTTTTAAAAAATTTTTATTTTATTGATTATGCCATTACGGTTATTCTATTCCCCCCTTCATTCCCCTTCACTCTGCACCCCCCATCCCTACCATTCCATGTGTCTCAAGTTCTTTGGATTCTATATTTCCCATACTATTCTTGCCCTCCCCATATCTATTTTCTACCTACCATCTATGCTACTTATTTTCTGTACCTTCTCCCCCATTCTCCTCCTCCCACTCCCCTGTTGCTAACCCTTCATGAGATCTTCATTTCTATGGTTCTGTTCCTGATCTAGTTGTCCTTTTAGTTTGCTTTTGTTTTAGATGTGGTTGTTAATAACTGTGAGTTTGCTGTCCTTTCACGGTTTATCTTTTTTATCTTCTTTTTCTTCGATAAGTCCCTTTAACATTTCATGTAATAAGGGCTTGGTGATGATGAACTCCTTGAATTTGATCTTATCTGAGAAGCACTTTATCTGTCCTTCCATTCTAAATGAAAGCTTTGCTGGATAGAACAATCTTGGTTGTAGGTCTTTGGATTTCATGACTTGGAATACCTCTTTCCAGCCCCTTGTTGCCTGGAAGGCCTCTTTTGAGAAATCTGCTGACAGTCTGATGGGAACTCCTTTGTAGGTGACTGTCCCCTTATCTCTTGCTGCTTCTAGGATTCTCTCCTTCATTTTAATCTTGGCTAATGTAATTATGATGTGCCTTGGTGTGTTCCTTCTTGGGTCCAACTTCTTTGGGACTCTCTGAGCTTCCTGGATTTCCTGGAAGTCTATTTCCTTTGCCAGATTGGGGAAATTCTCTTTTATTATTTTTTCAAATAAGCTTTCCACTGGTGGCTGTTCCTTTCCCCCTTCTGGTACCCCTATAATTTGGATGTTGGAGCGTTTAAAGATGTCCTGGAGGTTCCTAAATCTCTCCTCATTTTTTTGAATTCTTGTTTCTTCATATTTTCCTGTTTGGCCATTTTTTCCTTCCTTCTGGTTCAGTCCCTTGATTTGAGTCCCAGTTTCCTTGTCTTCACTATTGGTTTCCTGTGCAATTCCCTTCATTTCAATTAGTTGAGCCTTCATATGTTTCTCTAATTTGTGACTAAAATCAGCCAGTTCTGTGAGCATACTGATCACCAATGTTTTGAACTGTGCATCTGAAAGTTTTGCTATTTCTTCGTTGCTTAGAGTTATGGTCTCTGGGGCTTTGAGATCTTCCTGAGCCATTTTTGGTCTGTTCTGGCCGGTTAAGTATGAGGAGCGGAGCCTTAGGGGTGGGGAGGGGCCTCCAGGGTGGGGTCGCTGGGTTGTGATGCTGTATGTGGGGGCGGGGTCAGAGCCAGGAAATGGCGGCCCTCTGCTACCTCCCATCACTGGGACCAGCTAGGTCCCATCTCACTGCCCACTCCCTCACCGGTCTATCTGTGCAGGAATGCTCCACCAGTCAACCCGCCACCCTTTGCCCTCGCCAAATCTGCTGGTTGCTCACTGGGTCACTCACTGGGCCCGCCCTTTGTAACCCCATGCCTGGGATCCACACTCCTGAGTCTGTCTGACCAAATTTTCCTGTGCAACCCTGCTCCGCCAGCTGCTGGTTTTGCCCCTCTTACCGGTCAGGCTGAAGCATTCGTTGTTACCAGACTTCCGAAAAGTTCAATTTTTTTGTGTTCTGGCTGTGTTTTCTGTTGCTAATATTTTATTATCTCTAAACTTGGTTGTGTGAGAAAGCACAGTGTCTCCACCTATGCCTCCATCTTGGCAAAGTCCCGATCTCCTTCTTTTTAATGGCCGAATAATATTCCATTGTATATGTAACCACATTTTCTTTTTCCATTCATCTGTTGATGGACACTTAGTTTGTTTCTATATCTTGGCTATTGTGAATAATGATGCAGTGAATATGGGAGTGTAGAGATCTCTTTAATAGTTTCTTTTTGCTTCCTTCAAGTTCATACCCAGAAGTAAAAGTGCTGAATCATATGGTAGTTCTATTTTTAATTTTTTGAGGAACATTCATACTCTTTTCCATAGTGACTGTACCAAATTACTTGCCCACCCCCAGCCCCCCAAGTGCAAGGGCTCCCCTCTGTCCATATCCTCACCAGTTCTTATGTTTTGCCTTTTTTTATGATAGCCATTCTAACAGGTATGAGGTGATACCTCATTGTGGTTTTGATTTGCATTCCCCTGATGATTAGTGATGTTGAGCGTATTTTCATGTACCTCTTGGATACTTGCATGTTTTCTTTAGAAAAATTAAACAATTTTTTTTGTCTTTTAAAATATTTTTTCATATTAGAAACTCTCCACATATACCATTTCAATGCATCCAGGTGAGAATGAGCCATCTTCATCTGATGGCCCCACAGACTCCTCACACTCAGTGTATCTGAAGTTGACCTCATCCTCCCACACATAATCCATCTACCTTGGGAGGGTCTGGACCCTTTCTCCTCACTTCGCCTGTCACCAAGTCCTGGGAGTCATGTGCCCCCAAAGACATCTTGCTGTTAACCTTCAAAGTGGCAAAAGGACCAATCCAACTATGTTCTTCCACACAAAAATTTGTCCCCCTCACCTCCCCTCCTCCCTGTGCAAATGGGAGCAACCTTTCCCTGTGTCCAGTGCCAGGTGTGGTCTTGACCCACTGGATCTGCCCCCCAGGCCATGGTTCCATGCAGAGCCTCACCTTGGACAGTGCCTAGCAGCAGATTAGAACTGTTGCAGAGAGCATGTTGCAGAGGGAAGTTCCAGCCAGGTCTTCTCTGAGGTAAGGGGCAGTAGCACCCATGCTTTGGGAGGCTGCCAGCATGCTTAATTTCAAGAAATGGATTTCTATTTTGTTTGCATTTCTATAACTGGAATAGGGGGCATTTCTCAGCCTGCAAAAGTGGATTAAGCTCGGGCCTGCAACTCAAACAACCACCATTTGATTCCCAGTCAAGGCACATGCCTGGGTTGCAGGCCAGTTCTCAGCAGGGTACACACAAGAGGCAACCATACATTGATATTTCTCTCCCTATCTCCTTTCCTTCCCCTCTAAAGGTAAATAAATAAAATCTTAAAAAAAAAACCGAAGACATAGGGTAGGTGAATGGATAAGAAAACATGACCCAAACATATGCTGCCTACAAGAGACCCACCTCAGAGCAAAAGCCTTACACAGAATGAAAGTGAAGGGCTGAAAACAAATATTCCAAGCAAATGGGCAGGAAAAAAAGATGGGATGCAATACTTATATCAGACAAAATAGACTTCCAAACAAGGCCATAAAAGGACCCCAGAAATATACTTCATAATATTCAAGGGAAAAATCCATCAAGAAGACATAAACATTATAAATATGTATGCATACAACATAGAAGCAGAAAATACATAAGGAAAGTCTTGGAGGACTTCAAGAAACACATAGACAGAAACACAATTATAGTAGGGGATTTTAACACACCACTATCAACAATGGATAGATATTCCAAATGAAATATCAAAAAAGATATTGCAGCATTTAACAATGTCCTAGAACAAATGGACTTAACTGATATACATAGAGCCTTTCATCCGAAAGAAGCAACATACACATTCTTTTCAAATGCACGTGAAACATTTTCAAAGATAGACCACATGATAGGACACAAAACAAGCCTAAAAAATTTTAGAAAATTGAAATCATATGAAGCATCTTCTCTGACCATAAGGGCCTGAAACTAGAAATCAACCTCAAGGAAAAAACTCAAAAACATTAAAAATAATGGAGATTGAATAGCATGCCATTAAACAATAAATGAGTTAAGAATGAGATAAAGGAAGAAATCAAAAAGTTTCTGGAAACAAATGAAAATGAACTCACAACAGTCCAAAAGCAATGGGACACAGTGAAGGCAGTCCTGAGAAAAAAGTTCATAGCAACAGGCCTACCTAAAAAATATACAAAAATTTCAAATAAACAACCTAAACCTACATCTAGAATAACTGGAAGGACAACAACAAAGACAGTCCAGAGCAAGTAGAAGAAAGGAAATATCCAAGATCAGAGCAGAATTAAATGACAGAAACTAAAAGCACAATTATAAGGATTAATGAATCCAGGAGCTGGTTCTTGAAAAGATAAACAAAATGGACAAGCCTTTAAGCAGATTCATCAAGAGAAAAGGAGAGAGGACCCAAATAAACACAATCAATAGTTAAAGAGGAGCGATTACAACTGATACCACAAAAAAATAAAGGATTGTAAGAAATTACTACCAAGAATTATATGCCAAGAAACTTGAAAACCTAGGTGAAATGGACAAATTTCTAGAAAAATATAATCTTCTAAAATTGAATGAAGAAGAAGCAGAAAGCCTGAACAGACTAATAACAATTCATGAAATTGAAGTAGTAATCAAAAACCTCCCTACACACAAAAGTCCTGGACAGGATGGTTTCACAGGAGAATTTTACAAAACATTTAAGGAAGACCCAACCACCATCCTTCACAGATTATTTCAAAAAATTTAAGAAGATAGAAGACTCTAAATCCTTTTTATAAAACCAGCATCTTTCTAATCCCAAACCAGATAACAACACAATAAGGAAAGAAAACTACAGGCCAATATCACTGATGAACATAGACACTAAAATCCTCAACAAATATTGGCAAACCACATCCAGCAATACATTAAAAAGATCGCACATCAAAATCAAGTGAGATTCATCCCAAGGATGCAAGGATGGTACAATATTCATAAGTCAATAAATGTAATGTATCACATAAAAGGAAAGACAATAGTTACATGATTATATCAATAGTTGTGGAAAAAGCATTTGATAAGGGGTAGCAACCATTGAGGTAAAAACACACAACAAAGTGAGAATAGAAGGAGCATTCCTCAATATCATAAAGGCCAT